ATCCATCCATCCATCCATCCATCCATCTATCTATCTATCCATCCATCCATCCATCTATCTATCTATCTATCTATCTATCTATCTATCTATCTATCTATCTAATGTCTGTCTGCCTGTCCATACATCTATCAGTTTGAGTATTATGTGACAAAAAGTAACATTTATTACAGTACTCACATCATTTACTATCAAAATGGAGTCAATGCTGTCTCCAAACTCCTTTGTTTAATTCATAAATCCATGCTAAAGTATACAGCAGGTACTGTATCTCCCTAAGGATCACAACAGTCCACACAGGAAGTCTTCCACATTTTACTTCTGCAGCCGGGCAGCCGTGTGTGCAGGAAGTCAGAACCCCTTTATTTTACCTTCATTCTAACCTGCAGCCCAACATTTCTGATGTGACATGTTCGTGACACTGTTCCGTCTTGCCACAGCAAATGATGAAATGCTGGTGTAGGCTAGAGTTTGAAAGCAGCCTTTGGAAAAGCAGCGGTGTGAGCCCTCGGGTTGCCAGGTAGCTGGCAGTGCGGCCAGATCCTTTGACAGTTTTGGTCACCGGTTGTGTGGCGTGCTGTGCCCTTGGGGTTCTTTCCTGTGTCAAGTCAAATGTATTTATGCAGCCCAGCATCACACGTTTCCCTCAAGGGCACGAACAATCTGTGCAGCATCACGACCTCCCACTGTACTCAGACTCTGGGATGGGGGAAAAAGCAAATACTCTCCTGAAAAACCTTCTTCTTTCTTCTTGTCCTCAGAAAATCTCTCCTCAGGCATATGTTTTACTTTTTTTTATTTTTTAAGTAAGTTTTTCGCTTTTCTACTTTCTGAGTTTCTACTGAAACTGCAATGACCATACATTACCTTGGGTTTTTTTTTTCTAGTCTTGTGGGACGTCGTCATCCAGACCAGACAGTACGCTGTCTTTTAGATGAAACTTGTTAAAAATTCGGCATTTACATTTTTTGATGCTTCGGAATCAAACTTATGGGGCGTGGGCCATTTCTGGCCCACAAAATTTCCCACCACCGGCCCGCGATCAGATATCAATATTAATTAAATTTTTTTAAATTTTATTAGCTGTTATAAAAACATACTCATACTACATACTACTACTGCGAGTCTTATGTCAACTGTTGAAATACACATAAGTATTTATATTTAGCAAAACATGTTTTTTTCTTAAATGACATTTGTTAATATTTTTGCAAGTTATATGGGACGTTAAAGTTGTTGACAGCTAGACTGCCTTTCATTTTCACTCCTATCGACTTAGTGAGGTTGTGAATGGGAGCCAGCGCCCCCATGTGTTACATTTTATATACTACATTTTAAATTTTTATGTATTTTATATTTTCAAAGACATGTTTTAGTTACAATGTATAGCCTTGCAAAAAAGAAACTATTTGAAGGTAAATACTACACTTGCTAGTATAACACTATACATATACTTCTGCGATTGGTTGCCAGCACTACAATTCCTAGGCCCAATTCTCTACCAACCTGACCAATTGTATGATCAAAAATCCAATTCCCATCAAGAATGTATTTTTTAATGCATTCAGGATTTCTCATTGTGTTACCTACAGTAAAGTTAGAGGTCATCCGTTCTCACAGCATGTGAAGGGAATTCAGCTCTAAAGCATTCCGGCTGTAATCCGTCGTCCTTAGAGGATCATTCTTAATGAGTCCGTAGTAGACTTCTCATTTGAACGTACAAAGCCTGGAATATTTCAACAGCTTAAACTGCTTACTGTAAAGTGTCTTATAATAAAGTAATAATGATTATTAATGTATGGAACATTACATTAAAACCAAGGACACTTAATAAATCATAGCTACACATTTATAGCCACTGCGGTTCCACCTTAAATGAATATTATATTTAAGATACTTCACGTTTTTTTTTTTCTGCAGTTTTTGGTCTATGTTATGTATCCGACTGCACCACTGTGTGATACATAAACCAACAGGGAATGACACAGCTTCTCGGTACAAGCACTGTTTAACAAATTAGTTGTTTAGGGTCCCAAAAGTTTAAGGAGGAAACTTTGCCATTCAAAATAAATCAGTGTGAAAAGAGTTTACATTTAAATTAAACATGCGCAACCTCTGTTTTTTTTTAGTAAAATGGCTCAAATAATTTCCATCCATCTATAAAGTAGATTAAGAAAAAAATTAAACCTGGAGGGATGCCACGTCTATTCACACACACCGGTATAATGGTGTCTTAATTGAGCGGGATTTAATAGGGTGGGTTCCGTTTGGTAATTTGGAAGGAATAAAATTAAGCAGACCATCCATTAGGGGGAATCAATGGTCCTATTTCTGAATTCTCTCAGGCAATTTGTTTTTTAAAATGAAGGCCCCGCTGTTTGCCTTGTTCCGAAGAAAGACAGTGACGAATTGAATGGAATACTTTAAGTAAAAAGTAGGAAAGGAAAATGAATGCATCCCGGGACGCCGGGTCATTCTTACGAATATCTTACGAAGATCAGAGAGAGAAGTTAAAGCAGGGGTGTCAAACTAATTTTGGTTCATGGGCTGCATGTTATTATTATTATTATTATTATTATTATTATTATTATTATTATTATTATTATTATTATTATTATTATTATTATTATTATTATTATTATTATTATTATTATTATTATTATTATTATTATTATTATTATTATTATTATTATTATTATTATTATTATTATTATTATTATTATTATTATTATTATTATTATTATTATTATTATTATTATTATTATTATTATTATTATTATTATTTTGTAATAATACATATAACATGAAGTGTTTATGTATTTTTTTAAATTTTTTACATGAAGTGTTTATGTATTTTTTTTAATTTTTTAAATTCATCAAACGGGCCGGATTGAACACCCTAGCGGGCCAGTTTTGGCCCCCGGGCCATATGTTTGCAAGTCATTTAATGGCCCTGTTATCATGTAAGCTCATATTTTTACCCCGGAAAATGGAGTACATTCATTGGATGAGAGAATTGCAGAGTCTCTGGAGCCAGGAATGTTTTTTTTATATATATAAAGTATTAAGTGAAAAAACCAGGAGAGCTGAAGAACTTTGAGTTGTTAGCTTGCGTTTAAAGGTCAATACATCACCCGGAGGACACCAGTGTGTGCGACTGTGCCACATGCTTGTTTATCTGTATTCATTTACCCACAGGCCACCCTGATGAGGCGTCTGGGGAGCAGGAAGTGCCACCAGGGTAATCAGTTGTTAGAGAGGATTTGGCAATGCTTGCCACAGAGCTATCTGAAGTGCCCTGTGGTTTAAACGGAAAAGCAGTCCTGTCGCATTTGGACGTTTCATTAGCCTGCTTCATTTGTGGCGGTTAACGCAGTATAAAAACCTTCTACAATACCACAAGATACCTGCAGAGGTCAGATAAATATTTAGCCTGTTAGACGCAGCGCCATTGTCACTAACAGACCGTTTCAGCCGAGCGATCTGGGTCACCGTCATAACGAAACAGGCCACCAGTCTACCATATGATCCCAACCGTTTCAGCCGAGCGATCTGGGTCACAGCGTCATAACGAAACAAGCCACCAGTCTACCCCCTCTATATGATCCCCCATCCCACTGTACTGTGTCAGTTTGGACAGAAAAGCTGCTGAGGTATCAGATGTTCTTGTGACTCGGTCAGACGGCTCTGAAGGCAGTGTCAGTTGAATAAGGAAAAACTGGAGGTTTGTGCTCGGCGGTTTATTAACGAAACGTTTTACCGCGTGGTGCGAAAAATCTTCATCTGGTCATCAGATCAGTTTTAATCAGTGAACTGCTTGTTGTCTTCTATTCTACCATCCATTCATCCATCCATTCATTCATCCATCTATCTGTCCATCCATCCATCTATTCTACCATCCATTTATCCATATATTCATC